TCTCCTCCCCTCCCCTCCCTTTCTTTTCTAATAGCTTTCTGAGATATAATTCACATGTAAAATTTGCCCTTTTCAAGTGTACCAGTCAGTGGTTTTCGTATATTCTCAGAGTTGTGCAACCATCACCACCATCAATTTTAGAGCATGTTTTATCACCCCCCCCCATAAAACCTCTCGTAGTCATTAGCAATGACCCCTCATCTCCCCTCTACCCTTGCCCCCAGCCCCTGGTAACCACAAATCTACTTTCTGTCCCTATATTCCAGACATTTCACAAATAAAATTACACAACACGTGTCCTTTGTGTCTGGCTTCTTTTACTTAGCGTAATGTTTTCAGAGTTCATCTGTGTAATAGCAGGTGTCATTCGCCATTCTCTTTGATGGCCCAGTAATAGTCCATAGTATGGATGTACTGCATTTTGTTTCTCCATGATTTGAACATTTGGGTTGCATTATCTGATGACTAAAGGCAAGGGGAATGCATGGACAAAAGGCTTTAGTTGGGATTTTAAGAAACAGAATGGGTGAGGCAGGGGGAATGAGCTGAGCAGATTTGGGGTTGGCTAGTTTGAACAGCTTTAGCAGGCTCTAGGGTGTAGGGCTGCCCCTAGTTGTCTGATGCCTGGCCCTGGGATAATCAGGGCAGGGAGATATGGTCTCCTGGAGTGTAAAAGCCAGATAGAGGAGGTGGTTCAGAGTATAGGCTCTGGGTTGGTTGGTTTGCATATCAAAGGCATGTATGAAGGCAAACCATTTACCATCTCTAAGAATTAGGCCAACTGAATGTTCCTCATAGCTCTGGGGAGAAGAAAAGCAATTCTGTCTACTTGTCCATCTCTCTTCCAGCCCTACGCAATCTTGGATTTTCTTCCCTTGTTTTAGGTATAGCCTCATGTCATGCTTGGTCTTTGTTGTAACTGTAGACAACAGGGGTGTAATCTAACTTTAACTTCTTCTCTATCTTAAACTCCTTGGGGACAGCAGGTCCCTTGATCTGGGACCTTCTAGGACTCTCTCATGACATCCTGGCCATTGCTTAACCACTCTCTGTAATTCTAAATTTCCCACTAGGGGCATGAGAAGTCCTCACTGAACTTCCCCTCCAGCCCAAAGGTTTTGGCTGCTCTTATCATTGGCATGTGGAGTCTACTGGCTTTTAGGAATATCAGCAATCTCTTGAACTAGGTGGGAAGGACTTTCAGGGGTTACTTCTGGGTAGGGTGTTGGTAAGGAAGGGCAGAGCAATTTCATTTGAGAACTATTCCAGAAGCTTCCTCCTGGAGCCCTTTTTCATGTGCCAGATGCTTCTAAGAAAAAATGATCTTAGAGGCAGAAGACCTATGTGTCAGTCTTGCCTCTGCTATTTTCTTAGTTCTCCAGCTGGTATAGGCCCCTGTAGAAGGTCGCAGATCAAGAGTGTCCACAGTATTCAGGACAAGACTGGAGAGATTTGTGGTAGATGCACCATGTTGTCAAGGGGATAAAGGGCTGGTCCTGATTCTAATCTCGGCAGCCTCAGCTTGATGCTAAGTGGTGGTGCCCAACCCAGACCCTTTCCCGCTTCTCACTGTCCCTCTCAACCCCTCCAACTCTGGTTGCATAGACATCACACACTTTGGCCTGAGAGGTTTTAGTTTTGGTTTCTTAGCTGGTCCCTGAGCTAGGCAATGGGGATTCCCTAGTATTTCTCACCCTCTGTGTGTTAGCAGGCAATTCAGTGACTGTGAATCCACTCTCTATGAGAAGGATAGTGTAAGAGGAACCCAGTGTGACTTTTCAAATTCCATCCCATCCTTCAAGGCCCAGGCAGGCCTACCTTCCCTGTCCTCCCTCCTCTGAACCCCCACACACTTAAATTGACATGTAGAGCAATGGGCACGTGAATTTCTTTCTATTCTAGAATACTTTGTGCTTCTTTTTTTTTTTTAAATCCTCACCCGAGGATATTTTTTCCATTGTTTTTCAGAGAGAATGGGAAGGGGGGGAGAGAGAGAGGAAACATCGATGTGAAAGAGACACATCTATTGGCTGCCTCCTGCATGCGCCCCAACCGGGCTGGGGATCGAGCCTGCAACCGAGGTACATGCCCTTGGCTGGAATCAAACCCGGGACCCTTCAGTCCGCAGGACAGCTCTCTAACCACAAAGCCAAACCAGGAAGGGAGACACTCTGTGCTTCTTTAAAAGGAGACTGTGCTATGTACTTTTATGGTAGTCTTTTCATTGCCTCAAAGTGTGCTGTGATTTTAAAAAGAGATTTAAAAAATGTAGTTTGGCATAGTTCAATAATGGGTGATTTCCTCTATCACAGAAGGTTCTATCTCATCCATCTTGTTAAGAGCATGTACTGTGCCCAGCCGGGCGTGGCTCAGCGGTTGAACAGCGACCTAGGATCCAGGAGATCGTACTTCGATTCCCAGTCAGGGCACATGCCCGGGTTGTGGGCTTGATCCCCAGTTGGGGGTGTGCAGGAGGCGGCCGATCAATGATTCTCTCATCAGTGATGTTTCTATCTCTTCCTCTCCCTCTCCCTTCCTCTCTCTGAAATCAATAAAAATATATTAAAAAAAAAAAAAAAAAAAAGAGCATGTGTTGCATGCCTAGCAAAGAACTAGGAGCCAGCTCCTTGAGACTGCTGCCGCTTTCCCCCTGTAGGATCTTAAAAGTCAAAGCAGGGACTTGAGAAGTGAAACCCCTTCTGGATGCTCAAGGGTTTATGAGAGTGGGCGCTGTAGTGGCCAAGCTGAGCCTAGGACGGGCTTTGTTTTACAAGCAAAGGCGAGCCCTTTGATTTCACACTCCCCAGTTGGAGGGCCACAGATACTCCCAAGGCCTGAGCGAAGGACAGGCCCACAGGGAGGCAAAATGCATTGTGCCCATTTATTTCTGGGGCACCTTGGGGCCACCTGGCCTTTGTTCTTTCGAAGACTGACTGCCTTCTGGAAATGGGTTATTCAGCACTGAATAACCACTGAGAAGATGCTTAATAAACATGTGACTGGTTGATGAAGTGACTTCAACTTTTTCCTAGGATGCCACCATTCTCTCCACCTCTTTCCTGGGAACTCCTTTCTTTTCCTTTTAAATTTACTTTCTTTGGAGCTGACTGCAGATTCTGGTCTCCGCAGCAGCTTGACTAGGACCTGCCAATGTTGTGGCACACAGCAGAGAACACCGTGCTCTCAGGAATGGACCCCAGGGTGTCTGTTTGGCTTCTGCAGTGACTTCATTCAACAAATACTTGGTGAGCACT